TTTGGAGATTATCTTTTTGATTCGCGGAAAAGATCTAAGTCTGGGGGAACAGCTGTTTACAACAAAGGAGGAAGATTATGCAACAACATTTGGCAAAGGAGAAGTGACTGAAAATCTGCGGACACCAACAGGTCCTTCTCTCTCTTGCGGTTTTGCATATTATCTTGCATCCTCCATATTCTTCAGGTAACCCTAAACACTTAAACTCCACCACTTAAATAGCCTTTAATGCCAAACGCCGTCTACCCTAAATAATGTCTTTAATGAGAATTCACTACTATACTTAATGAATGTAGAGAGCTAGTTGACTGGAAGTTAGATTTAAGTGTGTAGATTTTCGCATGACGGATTAACGGACTAGTTTGCTTGTATTTTGGTGAGAATTTTCTAGACTAGATCTAAATATATGTTTCACGATAAGTTATGGTTTAGAAGGACGGTCACTGAGATATTGTTTAGTTCCTGCGATTTTCAAAATCTCTTTCCTGACTTAAGTTTGTTTGAGGACAAACAAAAAGGTAAGTCTGGGGGAGTTGATAACACCGTATTTTAACCACTTTTATGGATCATAATTGTATCATATGCAGGTGTTTTACTCTGTTTTCAATGGTTTTCAAAGTGTTTTAAATCTTTTAGAGTTTCAAAAGACTTTACAGGAAATTGGGCAAAAGATATGCAATTTGGAACAAATGAGCAATTTTGGATAAATGCAGACCGTCAGAAGTATGACAAGCGATGAAGACCTTCTCACCGTCTGATCACCGCCAAACTTTGAGACAACATAGAAGATCCAATCAGCTTTCTAATGCACTTGGTTTGGAGACAATCCAACAACTAGATCTTCAGATACTCCCGATGCAAGAATGACAGAAAATGTAGTTCCGGAAGAGAGCCATGTGTCGGGACCGCGGCCAACACCTACTTTCCCACAGGTAGAGCCACCGCGACCGTGGAACTTGGTCGTTCACTTTCCCGACAACTTAATTAAAGCCCAGATCAATTCTTTTCGTTATTTTTGAAGCCCTAAGTGTCCAGAACCACCCCAGAAGCTATAAATACCCCTTTTAGGTCATTCTAAAGGGTGTGTTCTTTTCTGTACTTAGATTTTCGTGAGACACACAAACCCTAGAGAGAGAGAGGCCGCCACTTGAAGGAGGAGCCGCCGCTGGAGGAAGTCATCGCGCCTCCGTCTGCTTCTCTGTTCTTCGTTTTTCTTCCCTGTTCTCTTTAATTTCCTGCACTTTCAATTTCGTTTATGATGATTGTTTACAATATGTTTGAGTAGTTACCCAGTTGGGTTTAAAGGGATTGTTCAAAGGGAATTTCATGTGTCTTTGTTTATGAATCAATGGATTTAGGATTTATAATCTTCTAGATGTTCTTCGTTTGCCTTTAATCTTACTGCGTGATTCTCTGCTGGCCACTTAGAAGCCGATCTGATATGATATGTTGCGAAAGCTTTCATTGATTGTCTGAACTAGGGTGAAACGAGCAATAATTCTATAGGAGTGGAAACCTACCTGTAGTTGAGTTGTGAATGTTGATGAGTCTTGTTCTGCTATTGCATCTTCTCCCTTCCAGGATCAGAGTGGAAACCTACTGATCAGGGTTGCGAGAGATAGTTTTTTAGTGCCGCAAAATTAGGCTATTCATACTTCCGTGCCTTGAGTTCTAGAACATGCGTAGCTGATTACCTTTATCACTTGTTTAAAATCGACATAGCTTAGTCCATGAACCCCTGCGAATTCTCCTTGACCCCCAACGTTTGTCTTTAATTGCTTACTACCTTCAATTCTATTTGCTTTTCATTTGTTTGTTCTTTGCTTTCAATCGCCTTGTTTAATCGCTTTTTAGTTGCTTTTATTTTCTTTCGTTTTTAATTGCTTTTACTTGTTTAGTTTTCTAGTTTAGATTTAGTGACAACCACAAATCCAAAACCTAAACCCAAACCTACTTAGTTCTAGTCTGATTTAAGCGTTGTCGTGAATTCGTACTGAAACAACTAAGTCTCTGTGGATCGATACCCTAAGTACTACAGCGCACATCTGTGCACTTGCAGACATTTAGGGGTTAATAAATTTAAAACCTGAAGCTTAGTAAACCGAAAACCGACCAACCCCGTTTACAATCGCAATCAGCGTGAAACGAATAAAAGAGTCCAGAGCCGCCTATCTTTTCTTCTACGCTTTCTTTTTACAATTTTCTGAACCAGAGAGTTTTTACTTGTAAGCTTTTGGGAGAAGAAATCTGCTACATTTTGAGAAGAATTATGAACCCTATTAACTCTTCTGCGATTTTAATTCATGAATTCCTTTTCATTTGTTGCTTTGTTTTTTTCCTCCATGTCTGAGTAGATCTCTTAGCTAGATTAAGGCTTTCAAAGGATTTCATGAGTTATAGAATTGGATGCAAATAGGGTTTAAAATCGATTGTCTTCACCTTTGTTAGACTTAATGCTTAGGTTGAACTGGCCATTCAATTTACGATCTTAGGTTAATCTATTCATCAAAAGTGTAATAGGTTGCTAGAACAAACACTGGTGAGCGATTTGTCCTTAGCAAACGACAGTTGAAGTTAAGGCAAATCGTGAACAGATCAAACCTGCTCGTTAATGCTTGTCTGCAATTTTCTAGGTTCAAACGACAGTTTAGAAGTTAGGTTGTTAGATAAAGTTATCGGTGCCATGACAGTGGGTCGTTATACGTTTATGTTTGAGTTCGAGACCTGCATTTAAACTACGCCCTGAATAGCCATCTGATTTTCATCTCTGAAACTCCTGCGAATTACCTTGACCTAGTGCTTGTTTTAAATTTGAATTGAAATCGTTTTTAGCTTGTTTTTACTTGTCGTTAACGTTACAAACAAACCATCTTTCGTCTTAGATTTAATTCAATCCTCGCAAAGTCATAGAGTAACACTGGTCCTCTGAATTCCGAATCCTTTATATTACAACTACATCACTGTTCTATTGCAGTAGAAACTATGAGTAAATCCAGTGTGAATCAAATTTTGGCGCCGTTACGACGAGGACCAATACGTTACCTTTGATTTTTGTTTTGAAATTCAGACTAAGACTTTACTAATTTTTTCTCTTGTTCTCTTGTTTGCGTGTGTTTCAGGTGTATGTCAAACATATCCACAAGGAGCAACTGCACCGATCTTGTTTCTTTGTCGAACACCGAGCTAGCAAGAGTCAAGTGAGAAAACAGACATCAAAGGCCTATTCAAGCCAACATGGGCGATCAAGGCAACAATGACAACATGGCTGTCGAGCTGCAACAGCTTTGACAGCAATTGGAGCAGCTGCAAAAGGCGCAGCAAGACAGGGAGCAGCCACAACCTGCTATTGGCGACAAGGACAGTCCACATGCTTACTATCAAAACAGGGCTGTGATTGCTCCTCCTACCATTCAGAGGCAAGACTTTGAGATCAAACCTCAGCTGATCTCATTGGTGAAGCAGCATCTCATTCATGGGCTTCCTGCTGAGATTCCGATGGACCACATCGAGAATTTTGAGGAGATTTGCAGCACGACTGGATCAAATGGGATACCAGCCGATTTTTTGAAGTGCAAGCTTTTTCCATTCTCACTTGCGGACAAAGCTTTGCGCTGGCTGAAGTCATTACCACCTGGGTCATTGACTACATGGGAAGAGTGCAGATAAGCATTTTTGGACCATTTCTACACTAAGTCCAAAATTGCAGCTCTGAAGAACAAGATCTCGTCATTTAAACAGCAACCTGGTGAAGCTTTCTGCGAAGCTTGGGAAAGGTACAAGGAGTACCGAAGAGAGTGCCCTCACCATGGGTTCTCTGATGAGCAGATTCTGTCAACCTTTTATGATGGTGTCAACTGGGATTACAGGAATGCTTTGAATGCAGCTAGCAATGGCGATTTCATGACTAAGTCCAAAGAAGCTGCTTATGAGTTGATTGAGAACTTAGCTGCAAGCTCCAGCAACAAATCCCAAGAGTATGACAGGTCTAGTAAAGCAGTTCATAGTGTGGAGTTGAGAAAGATCGATGAGCTTACAGCAAAGGTGAATCTGCTGTTAAGAGAGAACCAGAGACCTGTGCATTTTGCTGATGAGGTTGGTGATGCACCTCTTGCTCAAGAGTTTGTAGATGCAGAGAATGATAATCAGATGGAGGTGAACTTCGTGAATGGACAAGGGTATGTGCAGAATCGCAGCTTCAACAACTTCAGAAACCACCCAAATTTGTCCTACAGGAGCAACAATGTTGAGAACCCTCAGGATCAGGTCTATCCACAGCAAGGAGTGCAGAATCAGTCAGGATTTCAGAAGAACTTCTCCAACAATTTCCAAGGAAAGCAGTTCATCACCAATCAGAATCGGTTTCAAGGTGGAAATCAGCAGAAGTTGCCTTTTACAAGTATGCAGCCTTCTTCGAGTTCCTCAAATAACTCGCAGGATGAGCTGAAAAACTTGATGCAACAGCTGCTTTTTAATCAGCAAAAGTCTTCCATGGAGATTAATGCCAAATTGGACACCATGTACAATGATTTGAATGGCAAGTATGAGGCAGTGTGGACTCATGTGAAGAAGCTGGATGTTCAGGTAGCTCAGACTGCAGAAGCTGTGAAGAGATCACCTGGAACTCTCCCTGGAAAAGGTGAAAACCCCAGGAATGAGTTTGTGAATGCTATTGAGCTGAGAAGTGGGAAGACTCTGCATGCTGCACCAACAAGTTCTGTCTCAGAAAAAAGGAAGGAAAAGGACGTGGAGCACCTGCTCTAAGAAGAGGAACCAGCTCATGACGTAAAAAAGACGATGGAGCATTCTTCTCCAACCGGAGCACATGCTCCAAAATCGGGAGCACCTACTCCAGACGTAGATTTGACGATGGAGAACCCTGAGCCAACGAGGGAGCACCTGCTCCAGCAAACATTCCTGCAAGAGTTTACACGCCTAAGGTACCTTACCCAGTTCCACCAAAGAAGTCCCGCAAAGACTTAGAGGAGGCAAAGTGCAGGGAGATGCTGAAGGATTTGACTGTAAAACTCCCTCTAGCTGATGTTGTTCAGATGATACCAGCCCTTAAAAGATACATGAAGGGGTTAGTGTCTGGGAAAGCTGTTGAGGAAGAGAGTGTCATGATGGTTTCGAAGGAGTGCAGTGTTGTGCTTCAGAACAAAGTGCTGAAGAAGAGAAGTGATCCAGGAAGGTTTGTTCTCTCAGTCAGGATTGGGAATGTGCTGTTCGCAAGGTCTCTCTGTGATCTGGGTTCAAGTGTGAATCTGATGCCTTATTCTGTAGCCAAGCGATTGGGTTACACCAGATTCAAGCCGACAAAAATCTCGCTGGTGTTCGCTGATAGATCAACCAAATTTCTGGTTGGTATACTAGAGGATTTGCATGTTCAGATAGGCAATACACTCATTCCAGCAGATTTTGTGGTTCTGGAGGTTGATGAAGAACCCAAGGATCCTTTGATATTGGGACGATCCTTCGTATGCACATCTGGTGCAATCATAGATGTGAAAGGAGGTGATAGATCTCCAGCTGGGAGATATGGTGGTGCAATTTGAGATGAACAAACTCCTCAAGAAACCAATGCTGGACGGACAGACATTTGTCATAGATGATGGTTCAGACATTGCTGAAGAGGTTGCTGAAGAGGTTTTAGCCATTGATCCTTTGGAAGTTGCACTCACAAAAGCCGAAGGAGAACATGGGTATTTGAGTGAGGAAGCTGATGGATTTGCAAGGATGCTGAATGCAAGCACGAGGATGCAAAGGCTGGTGGCGTACATGAGCTTAGAAGGCAAGGAGAGCTCACCTGCAGAAAAAGCCGATGGAGCACCTGCTCCGAATCCTGGAGAACCTGCTCCCGATGGCTTGATTGATGGACCTTGGAGCGAAATGAGAGCTCCGAAGCTTGAGCTCAAACCCCTTCCTATGGGGCTCAGGTACGCGTTTCTAGGACCCAATTCGACATACCCTGTGATAGTGAACTCTGAATTGAACAATGTAGAGATTGCCTTGCTTCTTTGTGAACTTAGAAAGTATAGGAAAGATCTAAGATATTCACTAGATGACATTCTAGCGATTTCTCCTGATCTTTGCATGCATAGAATACATCTAGAAGATGAATCAATGACTTCTGTAGAACATCAGAGGAGGTTAAACCCGAATCTACAAGATGTTGTTAAGAAAGAGATAATGAAACTTCCAGAAGCTGGTGTGATCTATGCGATTTCAGATAGTAATTGGGTTAGTCCGGTTCATGTATTTCCTAAGAAAGGTGGCATCACTGTGATAAAAAATGATAGGAATGAATTGATACCAACAAGAACTGTTACTGGGCATGGAATGTGCATAGATTACAAGAAATTGAATGCTGCAACTCGCAAAGATCATTTTCCTTTACCATTTATCGATCAGATGCTTGAACGTTTGGCTAACCATCCTTACTACTGTTTCTTAGATGATTATTCAGGTTTCTTTCAGATCCCAATCCACCCGGACAACCAGGAGAAGACGACATTCACATGTCCTTATGGCACTTTTGCGTATCGCAGAATGCCATTTGGCTTGAGTAATGCTCCGGCAACATTCCAACGCTGCATGATGTCAATTTTTACTGACCTGATTGAAGACATAATGGAAGTTTTCATGGACGATTTTTCTGTCTATGGAAGCTCTTTTTCTGTTTGTTTGTCTAATTTGTGCAGGGTCTTGCAGCGGTGTGAGGAGAAGCATCTGGTGCTTAACTGGGAAAAATGCCATTTCATGGTGAGAGATGGGATCTGGGACACAAAATCTCAGAGAAGGGGATCGAAGTGGACAGGGAAAAGATCGAGGTGATGATGAGTTTGTAGCCACCAACATCAGTCAAAGGGGTTCGCAGTTTTCTGGGTCATGCTGGTTTTTATAGAAGCTTCATCAAAGACTTCTCAAAGATTGCTAGACCTCTGACACAGCTGCTGTGCAAGGATGTGAAATTCGAGTTCAACGATGCATGTTTAGAGGCATTTCACACGATAAAAGGAGCTTTGGTAAGCGCTCCTATTGTCCAGCCACCAGACTGGGAACTGCCTTTTGAGGTCATGACCGATGCTAGTGATTATGCAGTGGGAGCAGTGCTGGGACAGAGGAAAGAAAAGAGGCTTCATGTCATCTATTATGCCAGCCGAACACTCGACGAAGCTCAATGCAGATATGCCACAACTGAAAAGTAGCTTCTTGCAGTGGATTATGCCTTTGAGAAGTTCAGGTCTTACCTTGTTGGGTCGAAAGTTGTTGTTCACACTGACCATGCAGCGCTGAAATACCTGTTGACGAAGAAGGATGCCAAGCCAAGGCTCCTTAGATGGAACCTCTTGCTGCAGGAGTTTGATTTGGAGATCAAAGAGAAAAAGGGGATTGATAATGGTGTTGCAGACCACTTGTCGAGGCTGAAGATTGATGACGACATTCCACTATATGACAGCCTTCCTAATGAACAACTTTATGCCATAGATGTTTCTGGGTTCAACGAGCACCTGCTCCAACCTGGAGCACCTGCTCTGACGAGTTTTTGCTACTCAATTGACGTAGATCGGCATTCTGGTTTCCCATGGTTTGGAGAGATTGCAAATTACCTTGCTGCAGAGCTGGAACCTGAAGATTTTGTGAGAAACAAGAAGAAGAAGTTTCTGAAGGATGTGAGGCACTACTTTTGGGATGAGCCTTACTTATACAGGCATTGCTCGGATGGGATTTTCAGGAAATGTGTAGTTGATGAGGAGATACCTGGGGTCTTGTTTCATTGCCATGGTTCACCTTATGCTGGTCACTTTGCCACTTTTAAAACAGTGTCAAAGATTCTGCAGGCTGGGTATTGGTGGCCTACTATGTTCCGAGATGCGCAGAGATTCATATCCAGGTGTGACACATGTCAGAGACAAGGAAACATTAGCAGGAGGAATGAGATGCCTCAGAATTTCATCTTGGAAGTGGAGATTTTCGATGTGTGGGGCATAGACTTCATGGGGCCATTTCCATCATCTTATGGGAATGAGTATATTCTGGTGGCAGTTGACTATGTGTCAAAGTGGGTGGAAGCTCTGGCTAGTCCCACAAATGACGCAAAGGTGGTTTTAAAGATGTTCAAATCTGTAATTTTTCCCAGGTTTGGTGTGTCGCGAGTGGTGATTAGCGATGGAGGCTCTCATTTCATCAACAAAGTCTTTGAAAACTTGTTGAAAAAGAATGGTGTAAAACATAAGGTGGCGACCCCATACCATCCTCAGACGAGTGAGCAAGTTGAGGTTTCCAACAGGGAAATCAATAACATTCTGCAGAAGACTATGAGCACCACAAGGAAGGATTGGGCAGTAAAGCTTGATGATGCTCTTTGGGCATACAGAACAGCTTACAAAACACCTTTGGGGACTACACCATTCCACTTGGTGTATGGAAAAGCATGTCATCTTCCAGTGGAACTTGAGTACAAAGCTGCTTGGGCAGTGAAGCTGCTGAATTTCGATGCAAGGAGTGCTCAGGAGAGGAGGGTGATGCAGTTGCATGAGCTGGAGGAAATTAGGCACCTGGCCTATGAAAACTCGAAGATTTACAAAGAAAGGACAAAAGCTTTCCATGACAAGAGGATCCTCAACAGAAGCTTTGCACCAAATGATCAGGTAATGCTCTTTAACTCTAGATTGAAATTGTTTCCAGGGAAGCTGCGATCAAGATGGTCTGGACCATTCACCATCAAAGAGGTTCGACCATATGGAGCTGTAGTGTTGCTGGACACTAAAAGATGCGAGTTTGTTGTCAATGGACAGAGGTTGAAGCCATACCTTGCTGGTCCAAATATCGCAGAGGGTGAATCAGTCACCTTAAGCGCGATCCTCCTCAAGCCTAAATAGCTTTCCAAGTCAAGCTAATGACTTAAAACAAGCGCTTGGTGGGAGGCAACCCACCGGTAAGAGTCTCTAACTTTGTGTCTTTTATTTTTGCCAATAACTTTGGCTTTTAGGTTCTTTGTGTGAGAAAAAAAAAAAAAAAGACAGGTAGGAAGTTGTTCATCGTGGAAGAGAAGATGTGAGGAAGAAGAAGGAAGAGCACCCAACCAGAGCACCTGCTCCATCTGCAGGGTTGGCTGCTCAAAGCGTAAAAACTGACAAAGGAGCACCCCCTCCCCAGTCGGAGCACCTGCTCCACAGGGTGCTCACCACGTAAAAAGTGATGAAAGAGCAACCAGAGGGAGACGGGAGCACCTGCTCTGGTGAGTGCTCCAGACGAAGAAAACACGAGGGAGCACCCAGCTCTGTTCCGGAGCACCTGCTCCGTCAGGGTGCTCTACATGTGCGAACCAGGTAAGTTTTCTAGGCACTTCTCTAGCTTATTTTCACACCGGGGACGGTGTGAAGTAAGTCCGGGGAAGAGTCGTGTCTCTTGTACTTCTTTCTTTTGTTTTCTTTCTTTTTCTACTTTCTTTGAGTCAGTTTTTAGTTTGTTTCTTTGAGTCATTTTGTTTCTTTGAGTCAGTTGGTTATATGAGTCATGTCAAAACCTGTGGGAATAATGACCAATCCTATGATGATTTCAGACCATTTGTGAATCTTGACCGTTTTCTTTCAGTGATCATTGCTGCAGAATCATCTAGCTCGACTATTGGAAAATCCAAAGACAAAGCAGTAGACTAGAGGAACCCATATTGCTTGACAAGTCCATTGAACCTGAGCTAATTTCTCAGCTCTTCATTTTCCCTCATCGATCAGGTTAGTGCTCATAGGGCTTGAATCCTCATTCTTACCTGACAAATAAAGACCTGTGTGATAAATTTGGTATCCCTCTCCCTTATTCTAAGCATTGCTTCAGGCTGTTTCTATAAAAAAATGATAAAAAGCAGAAAAGATTGAAATGATTTTCTTTTAGAAGTAAAAGGTTAGGAAAATTTCCAAGGATCCCATTATTTTACTTCCAAAAAGGAATGATCACACAAAGGATGGAAGCGAGGGGTAGGAAAATTTTCTGTGACCCCATTATTCGCCTACACCTTTGATATATGATGAGGGAACTAACCGGGCGGGATTCGGTGGCAATCACCATTAATACTCACGTCTTTGAACCTTGTTATATATGCCTAAAAAAAAATGAAACAGCTTAAAAAGTGAATAAGTCCGGGGGAGAGGAAAGATACTCTTGTGTAGTATGGTCAATTTGTTATGGTATAAGTATGGGAACGAGTCTAGAAGGTCCTTGACACTAGTTTTATCGATGAGACTCAGCAATGATGGGACATGGATGATGTTATGAAATTGAGGGACTAATCTGGAAAGCTGCAATGTCTACGGAGAAGTACATGGAGGTTAGATTTTTGACTGATTTTTGCAGCAGATTGTCACATGCCTTGGTCAGGTTTACAGTCTTTTTAGTTTTGCGAGTTCCCACCTTTATCCAGTCATTCTTTTGGAATTGAATTTGAGTTTGTTTGAGGACAAACAAAGATCCAAGTCCAGGGGAGTTGATGAGTGGAGATTTTGACTCATTCTAACCTGTGTTTACTAATCTTTTTAAGAGTCTTTGGAGTCTTTTT